ATTTGAAATAACTAATCGGAATTTGAATATATTTGAAGGTATAAAGGTATCAGTGATGAAAAGTAAGTTAAAATTAAATGTCACTTTTAACTTGTATGGATATAATACTCGTTAAAAGTAAATCACCATTCATCATTATCAACATTAACAGTTCCCACAAATACATTTCTTCTTCTAGGACGTATCAAAGGTACTCCCGACTTATGTACCACTCAACTAAGATGGCTCTTTTAAAACACTTTAACGGTTAAAACATAAAATCTATTTGTTAAACTTATTTAAACTTAATTTAACTACAGGCCGACACCCCCTGCCTTCAGTCCCTTTCGGACCACCGGTGCTACAAAGCATTCGAAACCTCGGTCGATAATTAAAATAAATTGTAAGTTAAATTACTTACATTTCGCGTTTTAAACCGTGAAAAATGTTTTATATAAAAGGGATATACATTTCATTAAGTGAATCTTACTCTTGTTTGTTATGAAAAAAGCATATCTCCTATATATTTCTCTCCAAAAAATAAGCAGTCGCTATGAAAACAAAAATGTATTTATTTAAGTAAATTCGAAACGAACTTTAGTCTCACAATTTCGTAGGCAATGAATAATGAAACATTATACGAATTATTCGCATGAACGTCATATTAGCTTTTACTCGCAAACTATAATATTAGTCTAGTTTTTCTATGTAAATGAAATTTCTGCGAAGCGCAAAGCACCCGGTAATTAGACCTCAGGCGTACGAAGTTGCCTCATCAAGGTACCGTTAGTTTGGTCTTAGTTTAATGTATGCACATTATCTAAGCAACTTCGTACAACCCTCCAGCTGAAATGGGTTGCAATTATATGTACGTATAGCGTATGCCATTTGGCACAATAAATAATTCGCGTACAAACCGACATCTACATATTAAGTGTTTCACGCGCGTTGCTTGATGCTAGCTGTATACGGCTAGTAATCTACGGTTTGATCTAATCAATTAGTAATTTTGGTTAAAAATCTGGTTAATTAATGGGTTGTATGAATCACGCTGCTGCACAGCATCGAAAACGTCGGGTAGTTTAAATAATTTGTAAATAAGGTTAACTAATTAATGTATTTCGCATCTTAAACGGTTAAAGTGTTTTATTTCAATGTGTAGTTTAACTTACAATTTATTTTAATTATCGAGCGAGGTTTCGAATGCTTTATAGCACCGGTGGTCACTAAGGGACTGAAGACGCCGACGGCCGTGTCGGCCTGTAGTTAAATTAATTTTAAATAAGTTTAACAAATATATTTCATGTTTTAACCGTTAAAGTGTTTTAAAAGAGCCATCTTAGTTGAGTGGTACATAAGTAAACTACAGACAGTATTTAATACTATCTGTGCGATTAAAGCTTAAAAACAAACAGTTTTACAGTTCTGTCACCCCCCGCGGGGGGGGGAAAACACCCCCCCTTTTTTCCCCCCCCCCCCCCCCCCCCCTTTCCCTATAATAGGTGTATAAACTACATGTGGGGTTCGACAGTATTTAATACTAGTATACATTCTGTAATGGTGGAATACGTTTATAATGAAATGTAATAAATATTTACTTTTATCATAATATAATTGAAAGAAAACTGTGTGCGTTTCTTATAGATAATTTTCTCGACAATGTGCTACGGCGTAGCGCTGCGTAGCATATGACGAGCAATGCTTGTAAGAAGACATTATCTTATTAGAAAAAAAGTATATGCGTTTTTCGTTACCATATCTTCTTTTTCAACTCTTACAGGTGTCGCAAATTTCTTTTCTATCATAACATATATTTATATTCTGATTGAACTGAAGTATTATTATCTTTATTACTCTTGTTACGTCTAGTTATTTCATTTTAAACATCTATTTACTAAATTAAATTTGTAGTTCTACATTCCGTAGCTTAAAATATTAATAATCATTTATTTATCAGACCATCGAGGTTTATAACTAGATGAGTTATGTCGTATATTTGTTAATCTTAATTTACTATTTCTAATGAAACAAATAACATATACTACTAATAATACTGGGAAAGGGGGTAAATAATGTCATTTTTTTGTGTGTGTTATATATTAAATAAAAACACAGCACGGAAAGTGATGGATGCCGGTTCAATCCTGCTCGTGTCAATATTTTTTTTAAATTTAAAGTAGAGTACTGTCTATAGTTTACGCGAGTAGTACAAATTTAAATAAAACATAAGTTTAACTAATATATGTCGTTTTAAACCGTTAAAGTGTTTTATTTAAAGTAGAGTTTTAATTTCTGTCAGCTTCACATATTTTTGCACATAATGGATACAATAAACAAACTTACAAAATGTTACTTTATTTTATATGTGACATCTCATTCCAAGTACATTTTTAAAATCGGTTCGGCTAAGCTAATCTAATATCGTGTTTAATATTAAAGATTCCCCGATATGAGTGAACGGACTTACTATGTAATCCGGATTATCGGCATCCAGAATCCGGATATCCGGTTTGCTGGATGAAAATATTCGTCAAACTTCGCATGTGTGGAGATTATTGATTAATCTTGGTAAAACAATGTTCCGCTTAAATCGTAGTCTCTTCAAAACATGACATTCTTAAACATTAAATAAAACACTTTAACGGTTTAAAATGCGATATATTAGTTAAACTGATTTGAAAATGATTTTTAACTTCGGCCCGGCGTTTCGGATGCTTTGCAGCAGCCGTGGTCACGGGGAGTCTCCATTTTCAAATCAGTTTAACTAATATATCGCGTTTTAAACCGTTAAAGTGTTTTATTTAAACATTTAACATTGATAAAATTCGATTTGACACGTGGTAGCTCAATTGGTAGCAGCTGTAGAAGTTGGTTTGAATCCCGCTGGTGTTAACGAAGTTTTTCTGTCTAAAATATTTTTTAATGGTCATATGAGTGTTTATTACTTTAATTTAGTTACTCCTGTAATGTAATTTCAACCTTAAGATAACAACCGTAAGTATTCAAGTTTAAATTAAATCGCACGAGACGAGTTTAGGACACGGTAGCTCAATTGACACGCTCAGGACTTGAATAGTCCTGAGCGTGTCGTATTTTTTATCTCAAGTCTTTTTTTACTTACTCCTAATTAAGACAATAACTGGAATATCGTGCTCTCCAAGTGACAACAGAGCTAAACTCCAAGCCTCTTAGAAATTAAAATACCCATCAATAAAACACTATAACGATTTAAAACTCGATATATTGCCGCGCCGTGGTCCCGGAGAGACGGCTGCTGCAAATCATCCGAAACGTCGGGCCGAAGTTAAAAATCATTTTCAAATAAGTTTCTAATATATCGCGTTTTAAACCGTTAAAGTGTGTTATTTAAATGTGTACTACTCGCGTAAACTATAGACAGTATTTGATTCAAATACCGATCTAATATTTTGCCCCACCTGGGAACCCAGATCTCGTGATCTGCAGCTTACTAACCACAACACTAGTGAGTCAGTCAACGAGGCGATTGTTAAGGCAAATTCTGAAACACCCTGAAAGTGACGAGTTCCGCCGAAGTTTCAGTAACAGTTGTATTTATTACCCGACCCCATATGAACAAGGCTTCCAATAAGGCTGGCGCAAATAAAGCTACACCAAGTGATCGCATATGTCACTAAGACAAATACCTCCCGGACCACCCCTTAGGCTGCTCACTCACGAAGCGATTTGAATCATACAAAAGTATTATAAGTATTGACCATTCAATAAAACACTGTGTCACGTAAAAATCGTGCTGATCCAAAACGTCGGGCCGTAGTTAGAATAATTTGTAAATAAGTTTAACTAATATATTTCGCGTTTTAAACCATCAAAGGAGTTTTATTAAAACGTGCACTACATCCGTAAATACAAAACATGATTAATTTGTTATGGTTTGATTCAAAACAACTGACGAAATAAATACACGGTGAATATGTCTAGGTGTGTAATAGGCCTAAAAAACCACAAGCCAAGACGTTGACAGTTGTATTCGACTCCTGAGAAATAGAGCCTGCGCAACCATTACTCAACTATAGCTATACTATAAGCGTTTAAGCTAGCTCTAATAATTATTTATGAATTTTACATAGAATAATTACAATTATTAATAATTTACATTCATAGATGTATTATAAACAAGAATTATACTAAGCTAGGCATCACTGAACATGGTCTTTATGTTTAATGCGTAAAAATGCGTGTAATGTAACTACGTAGTGTCTGCCTCTCTTGTAGTTTTTATATTTCTCTAAAATAATTGGAATACATTATTATTATTTTAATGACCCAATAAAAGCAATAAGAGGACAGACAAGCACTTAGTTCATTGTTAGTGTTTGTTTGATAGGAAACCAAAATCGTTTTGTTATTAGACAAACGTAACTATTAAATTTATTCATGTCATCTAAGATCCTAATAAGAACGTGTTATAAAAATTTAAAAAAAGGAGTCTTATTGGATTACACTAACGACATCTATAGTCGAATAGTTGAATCGATATCGATTATGGTACGCTCGCGTAGGAAAGTGTAAATTTTGAAATAAATATTTTACACGCACACGTTAAGATCAATGGAACTTTATTGTCTACCATTTTATGACAACTAGAACCAGATGATTCTTATATATTTATTTAATAATTCTAACGTAAGTTTGATTTTAACTACTAAGTGAATTATAATAATCATTTTTATGTGCCTAACTTATAAGTTTGAACATTATAAAGAGAAGAATAGGATTGTAATTGTTTACAAGCACTAATTCTGTCTACCGCGTATGAAATAAGATTGTATGGCAATAGCTAGGTACCTACATTCGAATGCACTATACAAAATACCTCGAAACCTTCCAAGATTTGACAGAACGTAGGACTCAGACCTTACCTGTAGCTAGTTTTAGGATTCCCCCTCCATCATTTATCGAGTAATATTCTTTATGACAGATGTATTCGATAACGAGGGTGAATTCTACGGGAAAACAAAAACACGCAACGTCCTAACGCGTCAGATGCGAAAATGTGTGAAAACAGACGACCCCATTCTGAAAGCATCGCACATAGCAACAGCTATATCTTCCCCACGGTCTAGTGGCTTTCCATCAGCGGTGATTGATAAGCCGCGCCCTGCGAGATCCTGTGACGTGAGCGAATCGACATAGCGGGGATACGCCTCGAGGATTTGTGGAGGTGACTTTAATTTTCGACCCATTTCAGAGGTTTTCGATTTATAGAAAATCTTAGTATTAACTGAGCTAATTCTATCTGTTTTCATATCTGGCACCGTTTTTTTGTTTTACCGGAAAATTTTTCCGTTGGAATTGGAATATAAAACAACAACTTGTAAAAATGTCTATAAATCTGTAAAAAGAAATAGAACTAAAATACCCTAGATATATACGATCAATAGTAACTTTATTTATCTGTATTTGACTTTTATATATTGAAAATTAAAGAATATTTTTTTCTTAAGTAAGTGGTTATAGGAAATAACAACAATAGTCAGTACGTATAAACCTACAAATAAGGAATTTTATAAACCAAAATACCAAGACACAATTTATAATATTGAATCTTTTTCGAGCACAGAATTTTTCGATTCTTTTATATAAAACAGAACTTTGGGTTCGAATCCCACCTACATATAATTCAAATCAAAATAACTTTCGAAATAATATTTTACCAATAGTGAACTTTGGGTTTTCAGGGTCAATTGTAAATGTAAAATATTTTAGGCTTTATAGTTTTATTATTAACAAACAGTTTAAAACCTATTCTTAAACAATAATATCTTTTTAAACACCAGCTATGTCCTCATGGTCAGGATTCTTACATGTCTTCAAACACACAGGACTTAGACCATTTGATTACCTAAATGGATTTTGCAAACTGAAGTTTTCGATGTTTTTTCTATAGCTAAATAAATAATATTATTTAATACTAAAGATCTTTTATCTCCAAAAATCGTATCGAAGCTATATTTGACTTCATTACTATATTTAAATAAAACACTTTAACGGTTTAAAACGCGATATCTATTAGTTAAACTTATTTGAAAATTATTTTAACTACGACTCCACGTTTCGGATGCTTTGCAGCAGCCGTGACCGCGGCACAAATATATATCGCGTTTTAAACCGTTTAAGTGTTTATTTAATGTGTACTCGCGTAAATTACATACAGTATTTAGTGATTTCCAGTATGAAAATACTTAACACACTCCTAATATATTCAAGATCATGCATGGAAATCTCCTCTAAGGCTTACCTGCGAGCGTTATTGATGGTTAAAGCCTCCCTAACGGACCCGAAATAAGGGGTCAACCGTTGACATACAGTCGTAACGTCCGAAGCAATTTCGACATACGAAAACATACTCTATCGTTTAGATACAAGGTTTATTTTGGAGTCTAGATGAGGAGGGGGGGATAACCTCCCTGGGTGTACCACGTTAGTGACGGTGCCCTGTAATTTCGGGCCTAATGCGACTATTCCTATTTCAAGTCCCCTCGGTTAAGACCTGCCTTGGGAGATAAGAGATTCGGGCTATTAAGTAAATCGTATAAACATGTGAATGCAGGGCTATATTTAATGTTATCTTAGAATTATATACATAAGGTCTTTTGTAGGGTAGTTTTAGATTATAGAATTACCTAGTTCCGCATTGATATGTTTGAATTGAGACCTAGACAACTGTACTTATATATCTTTACATACTGTCTTAGTGTACGCGAGTAGTACAAATTTAACTAAAATACTTCTAAATGTAGTTAAAACGTCGTGCCATAGGTAAAATAATTTATATGAATACATTTCGCGTTTTAAACAGTTAAAAGTGTTAAATTAAAATTTATATTTTTGTTATAAATTTTAATGTAGATACATACTCAGACAGGTAGCAAAATAAAAACTAACAGGAGGGTCGTAATCCGAAAGTACTTAATATTTTCAGACAAATTGTGAATGATTCTAACTAGCGATAAATGAAACTAACATAAAACGGTCTATTTTTTTTAATATTTTACATTTTATATTAATACATCATTAGGTAAAAAATAACATTATCGAAAGTACCTTTTTTATAAGTACAATTTAAGTTATTTTTAAAACGATGTTTACATTCCTTACCTACTTGTGAATACTTGTTCTTGTAGTGATTATATTATCCATAGACCAGTAAACAAAAGGCGCGCAGCGACACGTCTCACGAATATAAATCGCTGCAGAAAGTTCGTCTCGGCTAATTAATTGTGTTCGGATTACTGTGCGGTTAAATACAGCCTTTACCTGGCAACGAACAGGTGTATTTTAAATATAGAACTCCTGTATACTGGATAAAGGATGTGTCTATCTATAGCTATAATTACGAACTATAGACACTATAACCGACGTATAAATGGAGGTAGTTAATTCGATTCGATTCGGATACTTATATTGTTTATATACCAATTTTAATTATTTTTCTTCATGGGAAAGTAGATATTTGTTCATACCAGGAGAAGTACGGCTCTGAAACTACAGAATATTTAGTTAACTTATTCATAACAATTCTAATTTTAACTGTTTTTGTTGTATTAAAAACCTGTACTTGTATTGTGTAACTTGTTGTATTACAAATTATTAAAGATCTATCGTTAAATTATTCTACTTTTCTATTAAATAAGAATGATCTGTTTAACAAGGTATTTTAACTAGCTATCGTCATTTAGGAATATCGAGTATATAATTTCAAGTCATATTTTAATATGAAAGAAGTTTTGTCGCAAAGCACTTTGAATATTTTAGTGTATAGAAAAACATGGACCAAGTTAAACTGTCACACGGTAACACCTGAACAAAACCAAAAATTAAACAACGTCCTTTGTTGGCGAAAACGCTAAATTGAGGAAATTTCCATCCATTCTCCATCCAGGCGTCATCCGCGCCTAAACCCCGCTTCAATTTCAATAGCAACCCCACATACACCCTTTAGGACACCCCCGTCTGCCCTCCCACTCTGACTAACGGTTATCTCTCGTGTGAGACGGGGACGGAGCTACCTACAAGGCCGGTCCGAAACTTAGACATATATTATTGTATTATATTGTCGTAGGTGTTCGCGGGTGAAGATTGATGCGGAGTGGGGGGAGGGTAGTTTCGGCAACCCTATGCCGACGTAACGAAATTTGCACGCACGCGTGTGACCTCATATTTCGCATGTAGGAAATTAGGTGGAATTAATTTTGAAGTTTTCAATAAGGAGGAAAAATTTCCTTGTTGGTGGGCAAATTAAAAATGTTTACGGTTTCCCGCCAGTTTGACAAATTAGTTTGGCTAAACAATCCGCGGATATTTTTACGTTTTCGTTGTTTGATGCGTTATTAAGAACTTTTACGAATCATCGGTATACACTTAATAGATCTAGAGCAAAAAAAGAAAACACTTTAAAATCACTTCCCAAATTTAAAAGTTCGTAGGTAGCATTATAGGGTTATTGAATAGTATTCAGCCCAGTAATATAAAAGTGCCTATGTAGAATCATAAGAAACAAAAGACAATAGATATATATTAAAAAAGTTTTTCGACAAACATGGGATTGGAACCGGCAACCAATTGAGCTAATTATGTTGGTTGTATATACGAAAAAATGTTTTCGATCAGTGAGATATATGTACGGCGGCCTTTGATTGGATTTATGTTTTATGGTCCAATTTAAATATATTTTATCGAAGTCTTAAAAACACTTTATTATAGAAATTTCCGATCTCGTCGACAGTGCTTTATTCCTTATATATAAGAAGCAACATGGATATACGTTACAAAAAGAATTGACTGTAGTTTACGCAAATAGTAGTAAGTAGTGTAGTTTAAAGCGGGAAAGATATGTTAAATGTGACCACAACAGCAGCTAAGCATCGCACGTCGGGTCGTAGTTATAATGAATGTTATATAAGTTTAACTAATTTTTTTTTTATTTAAAATCGTTAAATGCTTCGAAAAAAATTCACGTTTGTTAATCAACAACGAAATTGAAAAACGCAATAAAACAATGGCAATACAACGCGTCAATTATCGTTCCATATTTAAAATCTGAGTCATAGACAAGAATGTTTTGACGTCGAAAAGCGCGGGAACGCCCGCACCAATGAATGAAGATCGCCAAAGAATGAGAATTTAAATAAAGAAATACTATCTGAAGTTCAAAGTCAGGAAACACCATTGTACTAATTACGCGGCAGACGGCGCGCTTTCACTCTCGCCGACGCTTTTAATTATTTTTTTAGCGTCTCGGCGTCTGGCGGGAACGAGGAAAATCCGACGAAGGAATAGACAAGACAAGGCGGCGTCCTTGAGGATTATTTTGATGAAGATATCTATGGGCTTTGATAGAAGCTATGTGCCAGTAGTGCTTCTTAAACAATAATATGGAATTATCCTCGTAAGTACGTAGAATATGTGTTAACCTATATTTTCGATTTAGACCGATTTTTAAAACATAAATTATATTATATTAAAATATTAAATAAATAACTCAAAAACATTAAACATCTAAAACGTGTTTTCGTTGTTGGCAAAAAAAACAACGATTGTTTAGAAGTAAAAACTATTCATAAATTCTGTCATCCTTAGGTTAGGTATTTATGACAATCCGTTATACAAAATAGAAGAAAATATTTCTTCACAGCTATATTGTATATACAATTTAAGACTAAAAAATAAATGGAATTAGTAAAAAATGTAAAGCAAAATCTAATTAGCTTACGTCGACTAAACACATTAAACTATACTATATGTAATCATTAAAAATTATATCTAAATATGACAATATAATTTTATAACCAAAGATAATAGAGCTTATCTATTCCTAATTTAATTCGGTTTAATCTACACTATTCTTTCGTCCGCGTCGCACGAAGTTCGCGTTCACTCAATCTTTGATACTTTCTTCGTGCATTTTTTTAGCTCGCCTTATTAATGAAAAGTAGGTTACTAACTTGGTTCGCTTTAAGAATGAAAGTTACACGTTGCCGTAGGTCAATGAACTCGCAGCTGTCTTTTGTTTTTGTTTGCGATTCATCGACATTTTATTCGCGCGTATTTGATGGAATTAAGAAATTAATGACGCATAGACTGCGTTTACACCACAGACTATACACGATATATGATTTGTCATATACGATACGTTTGACAATTAACAATGAAGTGTTGCATTTTTTACTAGAAATGATAATAT